AAGAAAGGATGGTAAAAGTGGTCCCTTGCAATGCAAGTTATGTCTGAATAATCTGTCCACATTCGATAGTCAAAGGTCTTGATTGTGCAACTGATGAAATTTACTTCACAGTTAATGGAATTCAGCAATAGAATCTTGCAGTAAGAAGTACTCGGACATAGTTTGCCCAGATTTTCTTTCTATTTGCTCAGCAGATGTATTTCTATTGCATTCTGTGCCTGTTCACCAGAATTGAGCTCTATCCTTGAGTAGGTGTCAGCATAAGAGTAGCTGCATCTCAACATAGATTCTTTTCTCTGACTTTTGTGCATTTCCAGTTTTAGATTAATTAAAATACAGAACAGAAGGATAGAAAAGAAACACTTTTCTGAGTGTACTCTGTAAGCCTTTGTAGGCTGGTTTGATCTCTATTTCTTCCTGGTGTATTCAAGGTCAGCTTCTAATAATTTCCCTGGAGCGGATCTAGTGTCACTGATTTAAAAATTCTAGGAAATTCTTGCTTTTCACACTCTTGTCTGAATTACTTCCACCCGCCCTCCTTCTCTTCTAGCAGTTTCCTTACAACTGGTAGAAATTAGATAAGATTTCCTTTACTCTTAACTTGCTTATCTGTCTTTAGAAAAGTAATAAAACTTTATTTCCTTCTTAACCTGGTTTATAAAACACAGCTGTCACAATAGCCTAGTATCAGTAGTGTATTTTAATAAAAAGAGGAAGAAAGATGTTTACTGGAAGAGTGCAATAGGCCTGGTAATTTAATTGCTAACTTTCTAATTGTTAATTTTGCAGAGTTTTTATTTTAACGCCCAGCAAATATGCTTAAACCTTATTGGAGATACATACATGCAATTACATTAAAATAATTAACAGGTGGGGAGAGGGTGGAAAGAGGAATGTTAGGCAATCCATATTTAATAAGTAGCCATGGTAAATATTTTAAATGAAGTCATATTATGAATAATGAACCTTTGTTTTCCTTTCTTCAGGATTATGAAATATTTCTGGTAATTGCAGACATACAATTTTGTTGTAGTTTTGTTCCAATATATTTCAAAATAAGGTAGCATTCTTAAATGACTCATTTTGTTGTATAGTATTAAAAGGGCTGAAGCAATGGTAGATCTGAAAAAAATGATATTAAAGGAATTTTACATATAAAGTTGGTTTTCTTAAAATTTTATCTCACTGTTTTTTCTAAGGAGCTCATGCCCAATTAAGATCTCTTTTGCTTTATCCAATTTAACACGTAGACCACACAAATACTGTATCAATAACCCTTAGACTTATATACTGCTTCATAATGCTTTATAGCACTCTCTAAATGGTTTACAGAGTTAGCATATTGCTTCCAACAATCTGGGTCCTCATTTTACTGATCCAGGAAGGATGGGAGGCTAAGTCAGACTTGAGCCTTTTGAGATTCGAACTGCCAAATTGCAGGCAGATGGCAGTCAGCAGAAGTAGCCTGCAGTACTGCATTCTAACCACTGCACCACCACTGCTCTAAGCAGTTTACAGAGTCAGCATATTGGCCCAAGCAATCTGGGTCCTCTTTTTATTGACTTTGAAAGGATGGAAAGTTGAGTCCATCAGGATTGAACTCCTGGCAGTGGAATGCAAAGTTAGATGTTGGTTATGTAAAGTAATAGCTCAAACCAAACTTCTACTTCTAATGCATGGGAGTATTGCCTTGATCTAGACCAGGTGTGTACAACCTTGATAATGGTTGGTGGCAGCCTGTATGGCCTGAAAACTCAGTGATATATGTGTGCCAGGCATTATATACTGAAATGAGCTTCTTTGAGTGTTGATGAGTTGTGCACTTCTCCAAAAACTAAACAAGGAAGTTGAGCTCAAAAACTTTGAGAAACGTATTTTAAGTGACTTTATGTAAAGAACAATGACAGAAATTAGCAAAAGGAGCAGAATGAAAGTTTCAAAGAATACGTAAGTAATTTCACTTAAAAAAAGTAAAATAGAATACAAAATGATCTTATCTTAGCCCTTATCAACACTTTTTCTATTGCCGCAAATAGTTAATCCTTTTTTCAATGTTTATTCTTCTGAGCCACTGAGCTTCTAAATTTATTCTTATAAATCTGAGCCACTTCTCTAAAGTCCAATCCATAAAGAGAAGCTGCTTTTCTAGATTTTCCAAAATGCTGCATCCTGTGTCAGTAATCAAGCACTGCCTTTTATTTTATTTTCTGGTTCTTATTGTGCAAGAAAAAAAATGAAACACAAAAAAATTCAAAACTAGAAAAAATATTAATAACTTGTTTTTTTTAAAATCCAAACAGCATATTTAAAACAAAGAAAAGGTGGGAAATTAATCAGGAATAGACATATTTTTCTCTGAGAAAAAATACAAATATTTTAAAATATCTACAGACCCCTCACATCCTGGACATAAATTGTTTCAACTTTTACCCCCCAAAACGACACTATAGGGCCTTGCACACCAGAACAACTAGACACAAGGACAGTTTTCTCCCCCATGCCATTACTCTGCTAAACAACTAATTCCCACAACACTGTCAAACTATTTACTAAGACTGTATTACTATTATTCTTCTCATCTTTCCTATCTATCTCCTTTTCTACCCTTATGACTATAACTTTGTTGCTTGTATCTTTACATATTCCATACTTTTGTCCAAAATGATACTAATCACTATGCATTGTTAAAGAGGTGGCAAGATCCAAATCTCACTAGCCCTGTCTCTAGAGTAAATGTTGAATAAACCATAACCCTGATCAGCATCAGGTTTAGGGCTCCCTGGAAGGGAGGTGCTGGGTAGGAATTTGGCTGATGCTGGCAGCACCATGCCAAGGCCCACTAAAACCTAACATTTCACTGGATTTCCTAGGATGCCAGCTGCTGTGATATTCTTTGCCTCCTAAGGATCTGCAGATCTCCCTCACCAATGTTGTTTTTGAGCTTTTGTCCTCTGCATATATAAAAAGCTGTTATAATTGACCAATGCAGATAGTAATGGCTGCTCCACTTAGTGAAAAGAAGCAAGTCCTGATGTGCTCTGCAGCTTTGCTTCAAAGGGGGCACTTCTCTTAAAGCAAATCCATGAATGTTTGCCCTCTGAACTGCTGCAACTCTTTTTCAAAGAAAGAGAGAAAGAAAGCATTTAGATGTCCTGTTTTTCTTGGGACAGTAGCACAGCTCAGGCTAAGCCTGTGCAAGCTTTTCTGTTTTGAAAGAGAATTGTTGCTAGACTCCAGGAATGGCATGAAGGAGGAACCCAAGGGGGAAAAAGCGCTCCACCCGGAAGCCTGATTGTCTAGACCTCTTATGAGTTGGTGAATTTCCCTAACATTTCTGAACTTCAGATTGGATACTTGATCATGTTGGTTTCTTTGTAAATCTAAATATCAATATAATATATACACTTGCCTTTGAATGTGTAAATGTGCTTATTAGCATTTTTTATCCTTCTGACTTTTCCATTCTCTCTGACTCATGCGCTGTTTTGAATTGAAGTATCTGAAAAATTGATATAGGGCTTATGGAAGATAATTAGCTTCCATCAGGGATAAGAGCAAGAAATTATTATAATTAAAGCAACAAGCTTATAGCATACTTCAAAGGGAACCAGGTACTTATTTTCCTATTTAAGAGAAGGTAAGGCTGTCAGTTTAGAGCTATATACTAGTGGGAAATTGCATGTTGGATAAACTTTTCATTGAGGACTGAAAAAAATGAGGCAATTTTCTTGAATGTTCAGTGATAGATGTTTTAAGCACTATAGAGGCATTGGTGCACTATGGACTTTGGCATTCTGCTGACCAAAGTTGTATCAGTTTTTTCTTCAGAGTTACCCCCACCATTTTTTCTTCTCTGTGAGTTGTGATCTGTTTTCTGATTGTGGGTTGGAGAATGAAAGTTTCCTTCACCTAGAGGGGATTACTTAGATCACCAAGTACTTAGGCAGGTATGGCCAGAAATAGTTGGGTTCCTTCAGGGGAAGTGTCGGCCATTAGGATTGTGTGTTGTTAGTATTATGTAAATGTGTGCCGTAGCCTGAGAGAAAAGAGCAATAGGTGGGGGAATTGAGAGAACATCCAGGAACATCAGGATAGTAATAGGGATGTTGCTTCTAATGCCAAATTGGTTTGTAACAAGGATCCCATTGTCTGTGTTCTTATCGGATCTAGGACAATTCACCCCAGCCGGCTTATCCCGGCCATCTTACACCAGCCAACTCGCTTGCCATGGCATAACTCGATGCGACCCAACTTGATGCAGGCAACTTGCCGTGGGACAGCTCACTGCAGGATAATTCAATATGAGATTACGTATCAGCCACTGTTTTTTTTGACATTATTTAAATTTTTGTCATTGCCATTTCATTTTATCCCTCCTTTAGCATCCTTTCTTTAATGATACTATTCCATTATTTCTTCAATATATACACGAGTTACAATAGTACTGAAGAAATGGTGGAATAGAATCATTAAAGAAAGCATGCTAAAGGAAGGATAAAATGAAATAGGAATGACAAAAATTAAAACAATGTTGAAGAAACAGTGATGGATACAGTACAATCAGCTCGCATTGAGTTATCCTACATTGAATTGTCCCACACTGAGTTGTCTTGTGACAAGTTGTCTGCGACAAGTTGTGGTGAGTTGTCCTGTGGTGAGTTGGCTGGGGCAAGTTGGCCAGGCAAGCCAGATGTGGTGTGTTTTCCCATTTTGATTCTTATCATAGATGAGGGTGCTAATCTGGCTTGTCTAACTGAACCCTGGCTGAGCCTGGAATGCTGGGATCATAGGAGAACAATTTTTAAAATCAATGTATTTTAAATAGGCTAAATTACAGAATCCAGCCAATTTCTAGGAACCATGACTTTCATGGGATTGAAATTTGCAAACTGTGGCCTCTTCAGTGCTATTGTGCTGCTGTGGTTAACCATTAACCTGTGATCAACATTCCAATGCTCTCTACCAGCTTCTTACAAGGAAAGTCAATGGGGAAGCCAGCCGGATATTGGAAGTTGTTCCAGCTGTTTTTTTTGTCCCCCTGTGGTGGCTGCATTTCTCTGTTTAGGTAAGGAAATCTCTATGAAGGATGACACAACAGGTCATGGGTAGTCTAGTACCTAGAAAACCCTACTTGGTACCAGGGAGGGGGTGGTGGTTATTCGAAGCATTGAGTCTGTTTCCTGCAATTTCTATCCATCCATTATGATCTAGCAGAGTGGGATATCCCTTGATTAAACAGTGTCATTTCTGGGGCACCAAGGAAACATGCCATCTCTACAATGGCACCTCCCTTTAAAATGAGATCTCCTCTGAGATATGTAACCCTGCCACTCTGATGGCCTGAGTAGCCTTGAAAAGCTGGCTATTCTCTCAGGCCTTGTAAGAGGGTGGATAGGATTCCATTGTTTGTGATGTTTTGAAATATTGCCCAGATTGCCATTTTATAATTATTTTGGAATTATTTTTGTAATTTGTTATGGTCCATTTTATTGTATTCTGGGTTTTTTTATTTTTATGAACTGTTCAGAATTGATTGGAATTGGTTGAATCAAAATCAAATGCATAAATGTTATTTCTAAAGTAGTATCCTTGGAAGGAATTCTAACAGGAATATTGCACCATTCTATTCTTATACCAGACTAATACTGTGTTATTTCCTTCTGCATATAAAGTAAAATGCACTTGAAAACATTGCTGTGGAAACCCAAGATTTTTATTATTTCACTGTTAAGACAGCTTCAGGAAATGCATGGTGATGCTTTTGTAGTTATAATATTCCACTACAAATTTGTGTGTGTGTGTATGTGTGTAATTTATATGTGCTACATATGATTTAGAATTTTATATTTCCTTGCCTACAATGGACACCTGCTGTAGCAAGGCATGATTTCAATGTATTTTATAAAATTCAGTTTTGGAAAGAAAAGGCAATAAATCTGATTTTGGGCTCATGGGAAGTGGCCACGCTTCACTTGAACATGATATTTCATATCACGCAAATGATGAAGTTGGTCTTAACGAGGCAGTTCATGTCACTTCTGGGGTTCATCTGGCGTTTCTAGTAGCACATGCAAAATAGAACACAGTATATTTTATATTCTACAATACTGTGTTCCACAATCTTTTCATTTGTAAATAGCTAAATATTTGGTACTGGGATGCATTTAAATGGATTTTCTATTGTGATTGGCATCTACCTTAAGTTTAATAATTTTTAATTGTTCATTTTTGCATGAGTGGCAGCACAGCTGGAAATCCAATAAAATCCGTCTCTCCTTCCCGGTCTACAGAATTAGAGATAAATACTTTACAGAGTGTTTAGGTTTTCTTTGTCTCTCAGAATGGCCAATTACTACAGCCAAAATAAATAGAATGCCCCCTAAACATTTATTTATTAGGCAATCAGTATTCTTTTGGTGGTACATCTTTTGAGGGCTGACCAAATGTTAAAGATGTTGTGCAGCTTATTCAACATTGCAGTTATAATTTCTGCATATACACAAATGAATGGTAGGTGGGTTAGAAATTATGTCTTTTTTGGATTCCCATGGAAATAGAAGTAATATCTATTAAGCTGTTTAGCTTTCCAGATAAGATCTAAAACATCAACATAAAGACCAACATTTAATTTTTACCTTTATTTTTAAAAAGTTGTTGCTACAGTTGCTATAATTTTAAATATACATATAATGCCATATTATTCAGTGTAGTTTATTTGTTTATTTTTTTAGGTTAAGAGATTGAGGCTAAATCCGATTATGGATAAATAATTAGCTGTCTGATATGTGGGGGTTCCAAAGTGAGTGGGGAAGTAGCTAGACTATGGATGGATGATTTCAGAGCAATTCTAGCTGTTTTAAAGCAAAGCTAAAACTTTGTAATACCACCTAGTGTTTTTCATTAGTTGAAGGTTGTGAGTCACTTAATTATACGACAAGAGGAGCAAACTTGCTCTTTCTTATGACTCATATAATAGAAGCATCTTGATTAATATTTCAGTGGTGAAACAGTATTTTTCAGAAATATTTATGGCCTGAAAGACTTTTCTCATCAAGCTACAATTCTCTATGATGGAAGATTTTTAATCTTGAAATCCTAGGTGACTCTTCTGAAATTATTGGTGGGATGAATTAATACACAGGGCAGGCACAGAAACCATGTACTCTGCCCAGTAATAAAATACAGTTTTCAGAATAACATAAAAATTAACCTTGCAAATGAAGAGATAATCTGAACACTGATTTTCTTCAATAGTCGTTGATTAAGGAGATTTTCAGATGCATACCTAATCAAAAAATTATGTTGGAATTGTCTGCTTATTAAAATATTCGCAATGTTTTGAAAAATTCATTATGAAAGTTGAAGAGATACTAAATTTACATTGGCAAATGTTACTCAGTATTTCCACATAATCACACATTTAGATTTGTTAAAAGTGTGCATTTCTGAAGGTTTGCTTGTTCTTCTATTCAAAGAAGCTGATTCTCACTGATTCAAAACATCATATTAATTGGGAGATGCTTACTGAGCAGTACTGCAAATCAGCTTTTGGGAAGAAAGTATACTGAAGTCAGCCTCCTCTATGTCATTGTCCTTTTTTTAAAAAAAGAAAGAAAAGGATAATGTTCACAAAAATTCAAATCTAGTAATAGTCTGATAGCATTCCTTGAGCTTTGTACTGGGATCACAATGAAAAGGTCCTACTTAACCTTGATTTGCATTGTCCTATAAAGAAAGCATTTCCGATGACAGAAAGGCTGCCATTGATATTAAAGAAATGATGGGTCCTTGGTGCTCTCTGAGGTTGCTTGTTTTCTTGCAAATGTTTCATTACCCTAACTAGATAACATCATCAATGCTAGTAAGGAGCGCGGTTTGCTGTCAGTTTAAATTCTGGTGTCTTGCCTGTCAGTGTTGGTGGAATTGGTCTTAGAGATTCTTTGGTTGGGCTGTTTACTGATGGCTCTTTGGCAGTTTCTTGATTGGGGTTTTGTTTACTTGATTGATGGTCTGAAGTTAACCTTGGAGTTAATCTATGCTGATCTGAGTGCTGCTTATTATTAAAGAAGTTTGTATCTGGAGTGAATAGCCACTTCATTCATTTTCATTCATGCCTATTGGAAAAGGAACTCCCAGAGACAGTGGAGGACAGAAGAGCCTGGCATGATATGGTCCATTTGTGTACAAGAGTTGTAGACAAAGAGTTGCAGCAATTGATCAACAGCAAATTTCTGAAGGACAGGATATGTTTCACTTCCTCTTCTCTGCACCCATGTTTGTCTTAAACTCCCAGATTTTGGAATTGTGTCCACACATATTAATGTTGCCAAGGTTGAAAACCGCTGCTCTGAGCAAAGATGATAATCTTCACAGACTTGTGTTAATTAGTGATTAAAAAAATGAAGAAAGAAATTAAGGACTGTCAATACTGACTTGAGCAATGATTAGTAATGGTATATGCTTCATTACATAATAAAATATGTTTTTCCTTTAAAAATTAAAGGTTACCTTGCAAGCAAAACCAGCTAAATGCATAAAATTCACAAGTGATCTACAGACATGGACCCATGTTGATATACTTTCCCTGTTATTGGATATGAACCTTCAGATATTCATGTATCGGGATGACTACTGTGGGAGAGAAATTTGGCTTTTCTCATTCAGATAACTTTCTCCCAATTGCTACCTGCAGGTTTCAATGTACTAAAAAAAACAAATCATCATACATACCCACCATCTGCATAAAAGAATAGAATCACATTAAAAAATAAAATAGAACATACATAAAACATGAGAAAATAAAGGGATACATAAACAAAAACATGGTTGGTTGGTTGGTTGGTTGGTTTTGTTCATAATGGTAGCAATGTCACCCAATTTCCAGTACCATAAAATTTCATGTCTTGCCTGCTTCCAATTGTCTGAAATTCTGCTTTGGGGCCTATTCAGATGCAGACATCAGCATGTTCTCTTTTTGAGTAAAAGTAAATGTTATTTTTTTGTTCATGCTTGCTGAGCAAACCTCCGTCAACCTTGTTTCCTTATCGCATGTAAAAGATTTGTCATTTTAGTTTGACATGTAAGACCTCATTATAAGAAACCAACATAAAATCTCTAGGCCTACCTTTACCTATGATTTACCTCTGGGTGAGGGTGTGGATAAAATTGACAGTATGCACAAAGCAGGGAAAGTCCAGTGCCTCTTAGCCAATTTGAACAATTGTAAAATGTTACCTTTACACAATGTGTATGTGAAAGTTATAATTAAAGGCAACTATTGCATCAACTAGAACAGAATGTCAGCAGTTAGTCAGGGCTTAAACAGTTCAAACCGTTAAATAGATGGGAAAAACTATCCCTAAAGTTAAACTGCCAATATATAGTGGTCAGTTTAAGACAGAAGTTTTCTAGGATTGAATAAAATGGGTAAATTATGATTGTGTCTCTTAAAGCATTGCATGATTTAACACTTTATAGAGTGTATATTTAAAATGATGAATAATATTTGAAAGGCCTTACATAAAACATTTCTGCAGTGGAAATATGTACAGTTCCTTTCTCTTTACTTACAACAGTTCATTTAGTGACCGTTCGAAGTTACAATGGCATCGAAAAAGGAACTTATGACCGTTTCCCACACTTATGACTGTTGCAGCATCACCATGATCATGTGATCAGAATTCAAATGCTTGGCAACTGATTCCTATTTATGACTGTTGTAGTGGCCTGGGGTCCTGTGATCGCCTTTTGTGACCTTAGGACAAGAAAGTCAATGGGGAAGCCAGATTCACTTAACAGCCAGGTTATTACCTGCAGTTATTACAACTGCAGGGATTCATTTAACAACTGTGGCAAGAAAAATCGTAAAATGAAGAAAACTCACTTAAATGTCTCACTTGGCAATAGAAATTTGGGGCTCAAGTGTGGTCATAAGTTGAGGACTATCTGTATTTTTATACTTCTAAGAAAAAAAGAATACTGTGACTTGCTATGTATTAACTAAAAATATTTTCTGAGGAATAAATAGGTTATTAATGTGGTTTAGATTCTTTATCTTGGAAGTTT